CCTCACCCCTCTATCCCTACACTCAACAAGCCCAACCCGCCCCTCAGAAGCCTTGCCTTTCAAATCTCTCTCCATTTCTACAACAGTTTCCGCCTCTGCTTCCGCTTCCGCTCCAACCCACCCTTTCTTCCTCAACCACCTCCCAAATTTTCGCACCCCTTCATCTACCTTCCCCTCTCCTAACGATGGAATCCAGCCCCCGTAATGAAATGCCCCCGTCAAACCTAGAAGTGGTACTACGGCTGTGATCTCGTGTAGGATTAGGAAGGAAGTGACGTGTGTGACTGGCGCGTTGAGAAGAGGGGTTGTGTAAAGTCTGAGGAAACGGGGGAGGCGGTTGTTGAAGGTTTGGAGGCGTGTGCGGAGGCGGGAGGAATTGGGGTGGGATGGAGGTGGGGGTGGAGGTGGGGTGGTGGAGAGTTGCTGGCGGGAGATGGTTTGGTGGATGGACCGAGCGCGGAGCGGGCGTTGCAGAGGGTTAGTTGGTGCTATAGGGGTCCGGGGAGGCATTCTGTTTCCTTCTTCCCCCTCTCGCTCCCCCCCCCCCCCTTTTTTTTTTTTTTTTTTTTTTTTTTTTTTTTTTTTTTTGGGTTTATTAAAAAGGAGTTATTGGTTTTGCGTTATCGGGACGGTATGAAGATATGGTGGTTCAAGGGCTGTGTGTTTGAATCAGAAACTCGTTAATCTATAGCGAGAACAGGTTCAATTAGACAGGTGAGGGTGGAAAATTATGCCTACAACGCACTTTAATGGGCATAGAGATATATAAAAGAGAATGGATGAATGAACATACGAACGGAAGGCAACGAATTCTGCTATGTCGAGGAGAGGCTCAAGATCGCATACGGAGCGAAGTACGAGATGTTTGTTTTGTTTGCATCCGGCTCGGCTTCTCTTAACCGCGGGAGGCTCCAAGGGCTGAAATGAAGATTAACTGCAATTTAACAGCGGATCTGTTTTGCAACCTTGGAATGAGAACTCGAATGCTGTGGTACCGGCTCTAGGAACCCGTATGGGCCATTTTTAATATTTGTTTGATTTAAGATCCCAATATCCCCCTCGCCCATTTACAATGCTAAAACCCTGGTCTCCTTTCACCCCATATTTATAATTATCGTATTCTTCCAATTAAAACCATGCACCCAGACAGCACTGTACACACCAAATGGTGCGGCGCACATTAACTATATAGGTATCGATTTTTTCTCGACGTCCTGTACGAAATCAACAATGTTCTGGATATACTCCCTGGACTCCTTGTTCAGCTGTTGGAGGAAGAAATAAAACGCGTGCGGGAGCCCGACAAATCCCTTCACGGTCGCCGGAACACCAGCTGCCTTCAGGGCCTCCCCGTAGGCAAAAGCTTCATCACGCAAGGGATCGAGACCGGCAACTTGGATGACTATGGAAAAAATAGCTGTTAGTTGAAGCGTATTGAATAAATCTATATATGCGAGTATTTGTTTCACTTACGGGCTGGAGGGAGATTTGCATGGCTTTCAGCCAGGATGGGATTTGCATAGGCGTCCGGCTTCAGTTCCGGAAGATACAAGTTCCAGTGGAATAGGGCTCTTGAGGACGATGCGACAGCCTCATTCTCATTCTCTTCCCAGCTCTTATATTCATATTTGTCGCGCGGGAATAGGTCTGGGTGACATATCATTGGCATGTTGAGGACTTGGCCAATAATTCCGGTGACTCCCTCATCTCGGGCCTTCAGTGCGATACAAGCCGCCTTGTGAACTGTTATTATTTGCGGGATTGAAGAGCGGGTGGTGTAAGAAACGTACAAGATTTCCACCGCCACTTGTGCCTGCTAGGATAATCTTCTCCGGGTTGATACCGAGGGTTGAGGCATTCGATTTGCACTATTCGATTGGTTAGCATTCACAAGCTAAGAGTTTTTTTAACCAGTCTCAGGGGTCATTTGTGTCATACCCAGAGCAACGCATCGTAGCAGTCGTTTAACGGATATGGGAACGGAAACTCAGGGCATTTTCGATACTCCACGCTCACGACAACGCATTTGTTATCCTTGGCGACCTGCCTATTCTGTGCCTCTTCGACGTCGTGAGTGCATATCGTCCATCCTGGAATATGTATAGTTAGAAACGCATCTTGGAACCCCTCCATGGAATTTAGGAAATCACACGGTTGACCAACTCTACTCACCTCCACCATGTGATACAAAGAATAAAGTGGATGTCGGCACGGGATTGATTGGCTTATAAATCCTGAGTTCCACCAAGGTGCCATCGCTCACTGGTATGTTTATATGCTCGATGGTGATGTCTTGGCCAACAACGGGGCCATCGTCAAAAACCACAGGTGGGAATGCGTTCCATGCAGCTTTGAATGTGTCCATATCTTTGATGGCATATATTGCATCAATGGGCTTGCTAGCCTCTTCTTTGAAGGTTTCAAAGACCAGATGAGGCTCGGCGAAGTGTGCATACTTGGACTTAGGCTCTGCGTCGGCTGCCATAGTGTTTCGGGTGGGTGATATGGTCGCTGAAGGGCTTTGGCTGGCTATGTGGCGTCAAGATCTGTCCTCGTGAACTTGTTAAGAAGGGAACCTTGGACTTGGGGGTGATTTGATAAATTGAAGTCAAGGAATACTAGCAAGACGAGGGGCTAGCAAGACGAGGGGAGGGAGGTAAGGAGCGATATATACTCCTCACACGATACGTGATCCAAGCCCACCATAAAGTACAGAGAAGTGCTAGCAATCAGGAATAGGCTATGTGCATTTCAATTCACGAGGTTCTGTCGCATTAACATAGAGTTAAAACCACCTACATGCAGCATCTCCTGCAGCTATGAGGCCGGTCCCAGCACCGAATCCGGCCTACTTCCCAATCCCATCCGGGACGTGGAATGAAACAATGCGAACGAAATTCGTAAGGCATTCATTCCTATTGTTGGGATAGCTTGTAATTCGTCCGTGCCAGAGACAAACTCTCGCCAGTCCTAGACAGGAAATCCCAAGCAACCAGGGCTTGATTGGCGGGCTTCATCGAATCGCCCTCCCCACATAATTAACTATTGTAGACGCCACTTTCCGGAGCTTAGTTCCATTGTTCAAACCTGCATACCCTTCGCATTCCACTGCTTCCGCGCTTGAACAAAGGGAAATCAGAAGAAATACCACCACGACTAGGATGTCCACCGATCTTGGAAACCGGCAAACCACGGTAGGTAGCTTGGTTGGTTGGTCAGCAGTTGGCAGTTTTGTGTGGGGCTCAGGAACCCTTCGATCTGCAGGCTGCTGCTGTCTTTTTTTAAGGTTGGCCCCACTGCACACAGGGGCCGTTGTATGATTGGTCCGATTGCGGCCAAACTCGCCGTACTAACGCTATTTGGTTTAACCTCCCTATGCTAGCCTCGATCGGCCCGGGGGGGGGGCCGGGGGGGGGGGGCTGATTTCTCCCCCGTTTTGGGTCTGGCGTCCATGCCCGGAGTTTGATGATGACAATTTACGTGCGGAGCGTGTGCCGTAGTGATTGCTATTTGTCGTAGGCTGAAAATCCAAACCTGGACCTGATTGTGCTGCTGCGTGTTGAATGGCTGGTAATTGGCAAATCCGCCTTTCCCTAGTTACGTAATTGAAACACGCTTTTGTTTCGGTTCTTCACGATGTCGTCCGTTGTATCCGATTCTAAGAGTCGTGTTGATGCATCAGGATCTCTTCCCCTCTATCCACGAAAGATGTGCATGCGAAACGAGCGAATCAAGGTTTGGCGATAACTACCGCTCACGGTCCTTAACCTGCGCCACTTTATGTCGTCTTCCTTGAACCTGTCCTCGAAGAGGGGTAATTTGTGTAAAGAAGACACACTGTGTGCAAGCGAATGGATGTTGTCTGACCCGTTTGAAAACGGTAAAGTTCAAGATAGCAGGGCACCGAGATCTCCGGGGATATTACCAACTAGCTTTGGTCCTTGACTACCTGGTCAAATAGGAGTTTAAGGATAATCCGAGTTAATCAGTTTCTGTTAACTCTGATCCAACCGAAAAAGGTCAAGATGCCCCTACAACTCCACCATGAAGACATTTTGTAGAACAACCCGACCTGTTAAACATTGGGTTTGGCCTTTAAACCTGCCAGCTCCGTGGAATACCTGGCAGGAATAAGCCGGACATTGAGCCAGGATTTCAAGGATTTTCCGCACAAAAATACAATCTTTCGACCCAGGTTAAGCTAGGACTGCTGGCTAGCAAGGTATCTCGGTAGCTATAATGAGAGAACCCGTGGTGTCACGGCAGGATGCGATGTTGTTGAAACCAATCTCAGCAGTCGGATGCAGCTTGTCTGGCATTCGCAGACCCCTAGTTAGCATCTTGGACGGATCGTAGGGGGCACATAAATGAACCACTCAATAAACGCTAGGATTGTAAAGTTGAGGGTCTGCAGAGAATCATGCAGGGTTTACTTGACAAGAGATAATAATAGTTTTGGTTGTCATTGTGTAGTTTGTTAAGTAGGTACCTAGTAACTAGTTTTATGTAGATTTGACCGATAAGATTTGTGGTCGAACCAAGACGGAGCATTTTTTTTTTAAACGTCTTGCTGACGACCAACCTCATCCCAGTGAAAGACAACAACAACAACAACCATCAAAGCAACAATAGCCATGGAAAGAATATCAGATAAAATAGCTGCTCTGCCTCAGGATGCGAACTACTTCTCTCTCGAGTTTTTCCCTCCGAAGACCCCAATGGTGCGACACACTCGGATTGGCAAATTTCCATTAATTCCCCCGCCACCCCGCCCCATACTCCCGTTTCATTTCGCTAAGACTAATCAGTTATTTTCTATAGGGATTTTTAAATCTCAAAACCCGTCTGGAGCGCATGTCCCAAGCCCTTCGACCACTTTTCGTGACTGTTACATGGGGTGCTGGTGGAAGCACGGTGTCTAAGTCTCTCGAACTCGCGGAGATGTGCCAGCGCCAACTAGGACTTACCACTTGTTTGCATTTGACGTGTACGAATATGAATAGGACACTGGTGGATGATGCGCTTGCAGAAGCCAATGCGTTGGGTATCCGAAATATCCTGGCGTTGCGTGGCGATCCTCCACGCAGCGAAGAGTATAATATCGACGGAGAAGATGACAGTAACAAAGACTTTACACATGCAGTTGATTTGGTGAGGTACATACGTCGTATGTATGGCGATTACTTCTGTATCGGAGTAGCAGCATATCCGGAAGGACATTCCGATGAATCACATCCTGAGGTGCAGGATCCCGCGAGAGATCTCCCATATCTGGTGGAAAAACGACAGGCTGGGGCCGACTTTATTATGACCCAACTGATCTACGATTTGGAAGCGTATAAGCGATTTGAGGAGATGCTCCGAAATCATGAATCAGGAGTTTTCAAAACTATCCCTATCATCCCTGGTTTGATGCCCATACAGAGCTATCATATTTTAACCAGGACCACGAAACTCAGCCATGCCAAGGTACCTCCTGACATCATGGCGCGTGTGGAAGAAGTTAAAGCGGACGATGAGGCAGTGAAGCAAATCGGTATCGATATTCTTTGCGAGATTGTCAATGGGATAAAGAAGCTTCCTTGCCCTGGTCCACGCGGGCTCCATTTCTATACCCTTAATTTAGAAAAAGCAGTCGCCTTTATCGTCGAGAGATGTAGCCTTATACCCGCATCATCCGAACCTTCAAGCGATTCAGATACCGAGTTGGACTCGGCAGTTTTCATAACCCCGGGAATGAAAAACGGCGTTCCCCTAATATCAAAAAGAAGAGCTTCATCTCTAAATTCCCAACCTCATAACCGATTAATTGTCGATCACCCAGCCTCTTTATCGATTGGGGCCGCCTCTTCCCAAACTTCCACTACGCATGAGACCCAAGCTCTAGGTGCCGGCATGCTAGCCCTTAACCCTCCGCATCAATCCACAGCGCTACAAATATCTGAAGGCATGGGTGCACTGGGACGGGAAGCGACATGGGACGATTTTCCTAATGGTCGCTGGGGCGATGCACGATCCCCTGCTTTCGGCGAAATTGATGGATACGGACCATCGCTACACGTCAATGCCAATGTAGCTCGTCAATTATGGGGATATCCAACATCTAAAGAAGACATTAACAAACTTTTCCACTGCCATGTGTCTGGTGAGCTTCACATAGTACCATGGTCAGAGGGCGGAAGTGCAGAGGACTCTGGTGGCTTGAATGCAGAGACTGCTACTATTCGTGAAGAACTCCTCCAGCTCATAGACGGACGCGGCTGGTGGACGCTCGCGTCTCAGCCTGCGGTAAATGGAGTGCGTAGCGACCATCCAATTTTCGGCTGGGGTCCGCGCGGCGAGGGATTCGTTTTCCAAAAAGCGTTTGTCGAATTCTTTTGCTCAGGACAAGACTTTGAAAAGATATTGAAACCAATATTTAAACGCCATGGCCAAGATGAACTCTCATGGTTTGCAACTAATGCTTCTGGTGACTTTCAGTCGTCCTCTTCTTTCACAGGGATCACGGGCCTTGATGACGCCGTTCCGGATTACAATGGTGCGGCAAGCAGCAATGGGGTCAACGCTGTCACATGGGGCGTGTTCAAGGGCAAAGAGATAATCACTCCCACGATCATTGAAGAAGTGAGTTTCCGCGCCTGGGGCGATGAAGCGTTTCGTATTTGGGATGAATGGAGACGTATTTTCCGCCGTGGGAGCCCTACGGAGCAATTGCTAGACCAACTTAAAAAGGACGCTTGGCTGATCTGTGTGGTGGGTCAGAAATTCGGTGCTGGATGCGGGAGTAAAGAAGCCTCTGAGGCGGAGGAGAAGTTCTTATGGAGAGTACTTGCAGGGGAAGAAGATACCGAAGCCAATCCAACTAGGCTCTATTGAATAAATACGGTCTCGGATGGAGCAATGTTGATTTTCTGGGATATATTCATAAATTTTCATTCCAGACCGGCAATGGCTGACACGCCTTTATTGTGTGATCCTCAGCTGTTCTTCTCCGCTTTTTGAGATGCTATGCTGCTGGGAAACTGTACATTTATGGCAGTTGAATGACAATGGGGTATGTTGTTAGACATATCTACATCTATTTGGGAATTTAAATAAATACACCCACGTCAAGTGTTTGTCTCTCCATTCTTACTATTTGTTACTTTCCCCCTATCTTATGTTGCACGCAAAGAGAACATCAGCCTGACCTTGATGAATATCGCGAAATTACCCTAGAGAGCTATGATGACACTGCCTTTACCTATCTCGCTTATTTAATATCGACTGCTTCATGAAGTCGATGTCAAACCTGACGATCCCCGCAATGGCTATTACAGGAGAATGCATTAGCCATCTGCCTTAGACATAGTATACCAATAGGAAACATTTCCCAAAGATCGGTTTTATCGTTCCGAGGACATCTAATGCACAATGTTTAAAGCAAACCACTCTGTGGGTAGGATTAAATACCTAGAGTGGCACGTTTTTAATGATATACCGAAACATCGGGGCTTCATCTGCCATCTCAGATGTATCGACCTCATCAAGAGCATTCGGTTTGCCAAAAGCCCTGTCCCGCATCATATTGGCGATGCGGTGGCGAATGTGCAGAACTGCAGACATGTTGGTTGCTCAGACCTAAAACTCGTCATCACAAAGCTATATTGTGGACAGATTTAGCGCCTTTACTTTGTTGGAAAGCTTTTGCTAGCAAGAATACTCCAACAGTGACCACCAACAGCTAGGATAACCACGGCAGCTGATTCTTTCAATCCAGCCCCCGCAATTGTTCCACAGCCCACTGAATTCCAGGGGTAAACAAGAAAATACCCCTGACACTAGGAAGAAAATGCCAATGACAGCAAGCAAGCTACAGCCAATAAGGAATGGGCCATACATCCTTAACTTATCTGAAAGAAAACAGATACCAAGCATCATAACCCAAGCAACCAAATACGGTCCAATGGTGATACACTGGGCCTCTGTATTTGCATACGCCACCCCAGCGACTTGATTATCATCGGTAAGAAAAGTGAAATTGTCGCGGGTGCTGCGTCGTGGCCCATCTGGGCCAGCGCACATGAATATACCTTCCAATCCATGAAAGCCGAGACGACATGTGTCGTCACCAAGCTGCCATGTCTCTCGCGTTTTGGGTTGGTTACTTTACCGGTGGTTCCGACTCATAAATTTCCACATGGATGGATACCTGTAAACCTCCATGGTTGAATGAATGAGATTACGGCAATGAAGCAGATCGTGATATAACTGTATGTCACTATATGACTTATCAATAGAATTCATCACTCTAAATCTTCAACATCCAATGCTTAGCATAAATCTAGGTGCATGAGGTTTGACAGTAGCTGAGGAAAAACGATGCATCAAGCCTCATTCACACAGGTTTCTCCGCGAAACCCTGACCTAACAGCTCATCCGTATTAACATCTGCTGCATTTGCTAGTGAGGACTCCGATTGTGTGACATTGTTCGTAACATGGTCCAGGCGACCATACGCTTTCGGATTTGTGGGCTTAGCACTTGCTTCGCCTCTGAATTGGTATCCGCGTATTCTGCATAATTTATAATCTTAGTGCGGGCACCCGGAATCATGTATTGCTGGATAGGCTAGGAGTCGGGGCATAATAGACCATAGATTTTACATACCTAGGCCCCTGGCCAGTTTGTTGTGGTAGCTCTGATTCATATGCAAGCTCAAATTTCTGTGCCTCTTCCGCAAACGTGCCTTTGGCAATACTATCTCTAATTGCGGCATAGAAGTTATCCATGACAAGATAGTTATGTACTTGCAAGAGCGTCCATGCAAGCATTTCTTTCGCATGTAATAAGTGCCGGATGTATGCGCGGGTAAATTTTTGGCATGTGTAGCACGAGCAGCCTTGCACCAGGGGGGACATATCCAGCGCATGTGTAGCTGGCCACATGTCAAATCCCAGCGGCTTCAGACCGGACTCAGCATCTTTCGTTGGACTCGGGAAAGTGAAGTCGAGAGCAATACCCGCGTCCGAAGCGTCTCCAATAAACGGCACGGTTGACAGGTCGATACCCAGTGAAACCTCTTTGAGGATCTCTTGTGGCGTTTTAGTTTCACTTAATGTCAAACGCAGAAGTGCAGCCATAGATTCTGGTATCACGGAGCAACTTTCCGGTTTGTAGAGTGCAAAGCCAGCCACATTTTGCTTCATTTCATCCTCCAAATCCTCAATGTAAAACTTCTGCTGCTCCTTGTCCAGTGGCAGCACAGGCGCAAGAAATAATGCTGTTGTCTGTTTTTCACTCTGAGAACCGTATAGCCTTTCCACTGCATCTATTGTCCATGCATGCGTCCTGTCTACCATCCGGTCTCGTCGCTTAACCCCAGGGGGTTTACTCGGCAAATCTGATAGCCCGACTGCCATATCGGGCTGTAATTTCTGAATAGCTTCTATATATTGTTCAATTTCTAATTGACGGAACCCAACTGAGGTCAATATCGTCACAGAATTCGAGGCATTTGGAGTTGGACATGGCACGGGTGGAATTCGTCGTGGGCCCAAAATCAACAACAGATCTTCCCGTTGACATATGAATTTTCGAAGGGCGGACTCGAACGGCTGCACGGGAGTTGTGTATATCGGCAGAATGTCCCTTTGTCCCTTTTCTGCAACTAAACTGCTCCAATGAGCAGTGTTGTCAGTTTAATGGCGGATGCCGAGCAACGATTGAGATTTAGTCGCCTGGATGGACGAAACTCACAATCCTCGAAAGCAGTATACAGACTGCTGATTGGCAACTGCTCGTTCATCAAGTCATGAGATACATGAGGCAATGCACCTCGAGAAGTTATAGGGACAAAGTTTGGTGTCTGTATTACTTTTCTCCCGAGCAGAGCCAATCTGCCCAGTCGCGGGGCGAGAAGGGTTGGCGGAGAGCCCAGGAGGCTGAAGCTGAACATCTCATCGGGGAGTTCAGCAAGTAACTCAGATTGCATAATTTAGGAATAACGAAAAAAAGAAAAGAAAAAGAAAAAGAAAAAGAAAAAGAAAGAGAAGAAAAGAAAGGAAAAAAGAAAATTTGGTGATGGAATTAAGGGATTTTTGGGCACAACGAATAAATTAGTGCTCCGTTCCACGAGCCGTCACGTGCTCCACCTGTAGTTAAGATCTCGGTTAGTTGCATACAACAGAACAACGTTGGTTGATTGCGGTGACTTAGTTATTGTAGTTAACTTAATCATCTAACCTCTCTCCACAACACGAACAACAAACAGCCTTGGATACAGGGTATGTTAGTCAATTGCTCTGGACAGTACATTTATATGCATAGATAAAACGATAACTAAAAGGCTATTTCGTGATGGATGCTGGCCAACCAGGAAATGAAGGGCAGAGGGGTGCTCTCATCGTCGTAGAGGGCTTGGATCGGGCTGGCAAATCGACGCAGTGCGCATTGTTGCAAAAGACTCTACAGCAAGAGGGGCATGAAGTCAAGTACCGGCGTTTCCCAAGTACTTGCTTATGTTCCATTTCTTATTGTATTACCAAAATGAGAACTAACAAAAATGCGTAGATAGAACTACGGCGATAGGAAAACTGATCAATGCCTATTTGGTTGGAGATTCGCACTTGGATGACCATTCAATCCATCTTCTTTTCTCCGCCAACCGATGGGAGGCAGCTAAGGAGATACGAAAGGATATATCAAACGGCATTAGTATCATTATCGACCGCTACTCCTACTCTGGAGCTGTCTATTCCGCAGCTAAAGATGTCCCTGGCCTGTCGTTGGACTGGGCTTGGCAGCCAGAGATCGGCTTGCCGCAACCCGATATATGGCTCTTCCTGAATATATCCCCGGAGGAAGCCGCAAGGAGAGGTGGCTATGGTCTGGAAAGATACGAGAATGATATTCTTCAGGCTCGAGTACGGCAACTATTTCAAACATTTATCGAGAGAGAGGACCCAGAAAATGTCTGCGTTATTAATGCTGGTCGGTCAGAGGTGGACGTTGCGCAGGATATTCTTAGTGAAGCTAGGAAAGCCATCAAGAAAATTCAAGCCATTGGGCCGCTGAGAAGTCTTGGTGCATTATTACAGCCAGCGGACAGCCAAGCCTAATACCTATCCCGAAGAAGCCGCTTCAGCATTACTCCTTCAATTCTCGTGTTCATTCTATGACCTCTGCATCATACCAGTCAGATAAGTTAATCATGGCAGATTTTTGCAAACCCAAACGCTGAGTCCTCGTATTTTGATTTCTTCGGCATCTCTGGGGATGGGTCTCTATTTCGGGTGTGACTGTTGCATCAGAATCGTTGCCCGAGCTTACCCCGCCCGGGCGATGTGCGATTCCTCCAAGTACACCGATAGCACAATCAATCGTCCACGGACCGTCAGAGCACGGGGGAAGATTGACAGTGTCGAGACCTGTAGACACTTGCAACGCATCGCTTTCGTTTTCGTCTTCCGAATGACCCCGACCCCGAACGCTTTTCAAACCTTGGCCCTTCGGCGTCCCCGCTCGTTGCCGTCTCCCAAACAGTCGATTTACCTCCGCTTGGCCCCGAAGTCGCAAAGAAATTTCTTTCATCATGGTTAGCCATTCTAACTTGCTATAACATGTAGGGCAAGTTCCTTCTCGTGGAACTAGTTCCGAATCAGAGTCCTTGTCCTTCAGGAAATGTGACGACAAGCATGAAAGATGAGCTGCGCAGTGACATGAGCTGTGAGAACATACTGCAATGATGTCATGCTGCAAAATTAACCTCTGTTTACACACCCCGCAATTTATTCGTTCTCCATCTTCAAGTAAAAATTGTGACTTCTCCACGTACTCCTTGATACTATTGTAGCCGACATCCAGAGTTCCAACCCTCCCTGCTCCCGCGAGCAGCTCTTTTCCTTCGACCTCGCTTATCCCATCAGGTGCAAAATCCGTTACTACTCTAATCCCATCATTGAGCAAACCGTCAACGCGCTGCAACCAAACCTGCCATACGCGGTGTACATCCGCTGAGAAAAATCGGACCTCGATTGGCCATTTTGAAAAGTACGGTGATCGTAGGAGAAGATGTAGATTTGCCAAAATATTTGTCAGTGAGGTACGAGGTTTAGCAACGCGTTTGACCTCCTTTGCCGTTCGAGGACATATCCGGACTCCTAATTCCTGGGTCGCATTCCCGTCCAGATCTGCATGGCGGGAAACCTTGGTATTTTGCCATGCCCATCTAACAACGATCGCACGATAAGACAACGCTCCGATAAAATAATAACTGAAGTACAAGCACGAAAAAGAGGGACTCTTGTTCTGGTGGGGCTGAATATAGAGTCTACATACTCAAACTGCAACGCAGCAACTCTGCTTGTAAATCCGCTCACTATCGCCACCATCTCCCACGGCCTCAGGTTCTCTCTCAATGTTCGTTTAGCGGCGCCATACCTGTCCCCATTGTGCTGGGCCAACCGTCTAGCGGGGTCTGGAGTGGAGCCGATATAGAGACTAGCATGACGAACACATGAACGCAGAAGGTAGCAACAGGAAAAGGCCGGAATGGGTTTGATACATTCCTGGGAATCGTGTATCATGGATAATGATTGGATGCTAGGTGCCATGTTTTTGGGATCAGTTGGAGAGGGACTGTGCGTGAACGACGTGAAAAGTCTGCTATTTATAAATTAACGAAGTGCCCCCTTGGTATTCTGTATGAATCTCAGTGACTTGTTATGATAATTTAAACGTCAATCAATTACCTATTCTGTTGGAGCCGTCGCGCAATGTGATGACACGCGACATAAGCGTATAAGCAAAGCTTGGGCTGTCTGGCAAAAAGGCCCAATCGCCCAATCGCCCAGTAGTCTTCTTGCTCCGTTATAATCCCGTAGGGGTTACCTGGTCCCTAACAAGTTGGTGGAATGGTTGAACTCTCGTGATGGAAGGGAGCAACCCGCCAATCCATATGCGTGATCACGTGCGGCGGGGCGGTTGCCACGGGAACCCTTTTACCTCGGAGCTATATAGATAGCTATATCCTATCCTGGAGTCCAGCTAAAAACATGCTGAAATATAGGGATTTAAGCCTTTCCTATACTTCTGCCCGTTTGCTCCGTAAGCCTTAGCAAATTGCAAAAATACTTAAGTACTGCTGTGTTCAAGGTTTGGTAAGAGTGTCTGCTGTCTTCTTTACAGAAAGAACCATACCAACCAACCACTGATCCATCCTAAATGCGGGCACCAGGTAAAATTCAAAATCCATATCCTGGCCAATAGCAAAACGCTTTATTGACTAAAAAGAAGCTATGGGATCCCCTGAGACACCGGTGGGTAGAATAAGGGGACTAAGTGACAGAAATAGTGCAAAGACAAATAGATCCATCCATACGTTGATGAGAGGAAATGCGGCACGAAGATGCGGAGCTTTTATGGGGTTGCATAACTGTCGCGTCCAGTCTGTCTTCTCACGATTAGACAATATCAATGTAATGTAGAGGAGAACATGCCTCGAATACCAAGACAGAAACAGTAAATATTTCTAATAGATAAAAGAAGCTGGGAGAGCTGAATCCTCAGCTTTGATGGTATCCAAATTCGCCACAGTCGGATTTTGCCCGTAGTAATACACAAGGCGCCTACGCGCACTGAGATGAAAGAATAGGAGCTCGACATGGGGGCGAATGATTTTGTAGATGTTTCGGATTAATTTATTAGTAATGAATTGAGGGATAGGGCACATATTGACTACGTTGGAATGCTAGTTATTTAGGGTGTACGGTTGTTGTATATATCATATTTTGATTAGAATAGTGTATTTTTGAGGAGTGTATGTAGCCGGGTAGTGAGTGCATTTATCAACCCCCTTTCCCTTTGATTCCTTAAGTCATCTGACATTGATCTGGTTATTTCCATAGTAGCACACTGGACACTGTCCATGGCTTACATGCTGGACATTTCATCCTGATTCTGATCTCCTTAGCACATCCACACCAGAATTCCAACTCTAGATAGACAGTTCCGAAAAAGATGGTCGACACTCCCGGCAAGGGAAGCATTGCCAGTCGCCGAAATCGGAAGCAGAAGGGAGGATGGAAGCCGATAGACTGATTATATGAACATTAGGATGCATACAAACTTGCCTTGCACAGACACAGAGGAAAGTGCTGCAAGTTGAAATCCGGCGAATTTCCAAACCAACGCTCATATCATCCTGTCCAAGGGCCGATGCGGCCAGCTTGGATGAAGGCAGACTGATTGAGTCTTTGGTTCTTCCTGCTTTTCTACTCCGTCTCAACAACTGGTAATATACATGCTGAAAATGATCATGTTCTCTGATCAATTTCTTGATACTTCTCTGCATTTCATTTCCCTGAAGCTTCTTTCACTGGTGAAGCTTCTTGGAAGCAGCACAGTTGCTTCACTGTTTATCACTTTCTATGACCCAGATTTCATATCAACATTGATTATACCTCTCCAGTTTTGCGCTGATTTTGTTGATATCTGTAACAGAGTTCTTGACTCTTCTTGCTTTCTCTGTTTCTTCTTCAACTGGTAATATAAATGCCGAAAATGATCACATTCTCTGGTCAATTTCTTGATATTTCTCTGCATTTCATCTTCCTGAAGATTCTTTCACTGATAAAGCTTCTTGGAAGCAGCACAGTTGCTTCACTGTTTATTTATCACTTTCTATGACCCAGATTCCATATCAACATTGATTATACCTCTCCAGTTTTGCGCTGATTTTGTTGATATCTGTAACAGAGTTCTTGACTCTTCTTGCTTTCTCTGTTTCTTCTTCAACTGGTAATATAAATGCTGAAAATGATCACATTCTCTGGTCAATTTCTTGATATTTCTCTGCATTTCATCTTCCTGAAGATTCTTTCACTGGTAAAGCTTCTTGGAAGCAGCACAGTTGCTTCACTGTTTGTTTATCACTTTCTATGACCCAGATTCCATATCAATATTGATTATACCTCTCCAGTTTTGCGCTGATTTTGTTGCTATCTGTAACAGAGTTCTTGACTCTTCTTGCTTTCTCTGTTTCTTCTTCAACTGGTAATATAAATGCCGAAAATGATCACATTCTCTGGTCAATTTCTTGATATTTCTCTGCATTTCATCTTCCTGAAGATTCTTTCACTGGTAAAGCTTCTTGAAAGCAGCACAGTTGCTTCACTGTTTGTTTATCACTTTCTATGACCCAGATTCCATATCAACATTGATGATACCTCTCCGGTTTTGCGCTGATTTTGTTGCCGTCTGTGACATAGTCATTGGAGATTATCTTGCATACAGCTCAACATCCCCTGAGCGTGCTAGTGAACTCCTCAATCCCCCGCGTTGCAACAGAGGAAGAGAATTATCAGCGGAATAGAGTTGTTCATTGCATAGTGTTAAGAGCAGCAGCATCTGGAAAAACAGGCTGTCGGAAGATCGCCGTGTACTTTCACACAGGTTTTCTTGGTATTGGAGTTTTGAAGTAGCTATGACATTGGAGTTTTATCCGGTCGCGTCCGAGTGATAATGTGTGAAGTGCTGTGACGGTGTCGGGGCAACTGTGATAAAGTGGCCATGGCCAGGAAAATTGCTCCTCTGTCAGTTGGAGCCGGCTGCGTTGGTAACGCCCTTTCTAAATGTGGCCCTGGGAAATGTCCAAGGTCCTTGAAGTGTTGTGAGGTCCCATAATCGCAAGTTGTACTCAAGAGTTGAGGAATCGTTAGTCCCGTCTTGCCCGCCATGGCCTTCTTATTCACTGTACTACCACGACTGAGTGTACATGCAAACCTAACTCGGTTTGGGAGAAAATTGAGGTTTGGGAACTCCATTGGAGTGATAGATGCCTCTTGGTATTCCAGTGTAATTTCGAGAATCAAAGAGATATGTGGGTAATAACGTCCTGAAATGGGCGCAAGTGCTCCTTTTTCATTCCCTTTCAGCAAGGAGCTAGTCGACCGGCTAGTCGGCGTGCTTTTTGAGATCCGGATAAACTAGAGTTCAAACCCCCGAGTTCTCTTGGCGCCGGAAAACGCAGTCCCTACGACGTACCCCAACAAGTATAAGTTATTCCTGATTAGGATATACATGACGTTGGCTCCATGCAATCAGACTCGCCGGCCATTTTGCAAAACATGTATGGCAGGTATTGCTCCAGTATGACGACTTCCTCGGCCTTCCTTCCGTTGTCGTTCTCATTGGGAAACTTTCATCTTGTATTCTTTATCAGACTGGTGAGCTTTCAGATATCGTCGAGATCAATTCAGAATGCATGACGCCGCTCACTGGTTGAGTGTCGATGACTTGAAGCAGTCTCTATCAAAGAAAGATTGTCCTTATGAGGTAAATCCGCTGATGAGGGTGAATATAACTGATGTTCATGATGTAGCCCATGCGATTGACACTGAGACCAAAGTCGATGATTTTGCGCGTCCATGACAGCGTAGTCTCTAAAGGCGGTTGGGCGCGACGTGATGGATAGGCTCTTCATGTACCTCAGGGTGCTCCATATTTGACTCAATAGTCGTCTTAGTAGGTGTCATAAGCCACTACAAGTCAATTATGAACTTGAAATAGTAGGCCAGGTGCGGGGCACTTCATCTATCTTGCATGCTGACACTGAAGACATTGTTCTTGAAGGGAACCCTCATGCACGAGCAGTCATATCTAGCTGCATCCAGAACACCCAGCCGTGGGAATTTGTGACCCATGGTCTTAGTATTGGCACCATTACTGACCTTCTTGCTGATGTCTTCAGTAACCCAACCCCACTACTTGAACGAGGATGAGTTGTGGCGTCCCTTGGGTCGTTATTGACACCATCGAAGTGCGGATACTATTGAATGCCTTTGAAATGATTTGAGACACAGCGGTCACTTGGTCGAACTTACTATGGTAAGCTAGTCACTCCAACCTCCTCTTCATTCCGGAGTGCTGACATTGTATCAAAGGTGGTGCATGTATAATAAGCAAAGAAACTTCCACGGAGGGACCGCAATTGTTGTGGATTTGGGGTCGGCTGCCTATGCGCTCGACTAATTCCAGGTATTATGGAAAATGATTCCTTCGGAGCTGGGCAGAGTGGTGGAGGATGGAGGGAACTATCGCGCGTATCGCGGCCATTTGAGGGAGTCGCGAAGAAGAGGGGAAAACCTGCATTGCCCCCGCCATTCTCAGAGAGTACCAGTTGTCCGTTGGAAGCCTCCAACGGCAAGGACCCATCCGGTACGAGGAGTGTTTGCAGAGGGCAACATCAAACGCCGATGGCTTGCTCTTGTTCATAATGCACGGTAAAGGCAGGATTTGTGGAAAGAATCGGGAGCATGTTCAAGTTCTGCATCTGCTTTTAGGATGCCATATTTTTGAGCAAAAGGCCGTAAGAATGAAGATCCTCAAGGGACACCACCAGCTGTTGCCCGAAAGTCCAAAATATTTGGAGCCTTATTGGTCCTCGGGGGAAGCCGTGATTTCTGCTAAAAAAGCCACGACAATCGATACTTTCATTAATCCTAAAGGGATGGAATAATTGCCGCTAATTTAGACGGAGTCGAACAAGTATCGTGATTTCGAGGATGTGGTGATTTGATTTTATAAGTAGACCGTAGATCCGGCGGCTGAATCATGATTGTATAGCGACTAAAACTATCCGTCTACCACACCTTAGAACCACGTTACGAATCAGTTGATCAGAGATTCGTCAACACTATTCTTATTAGAGATTTGCATGATTGGCAGGCATACGGAGACGGTCTACCAGGATATCTGGGACGCTCCGTCAGGGACAGAAGTTTCGTCTGCTTGAATAGCCTGCCATTCACATTGACGATGGTGAGGAGAAAACGTAAAAAGATATTAGGGTCCTCCTCCGTATGGACATCGACCTTGATTTCTGCATCGTCCGCCGGACTGTCGCGTTACAGCCGATGTAATGGTTTGCAAATAATAACCAGACACTCTTTGAGAGCAAAAGCTTCCTGGAATGTTTGGCACTTAGTTAGTCTTTTGTACAGTAGATAGAGACCACGTTGATGAATCCTTAAGGGATATGCAGAAGTAGAAGAGGGGGAAGTAAGAGAAGTAGGAGAAGGAGAACAGACAGCATCTCTGGGATCTTCACTTTTTCCATATTCCTCCTTAGTCATCCAAATCAAACCATCTGGGGGGAACGTTGATTCCGATGACGAATATCGCGTACGTCCACGTCTTCTTTTGGTGATCCTGGGAGGCTAGCTACGTTAACTATATATTTGGGGCTATACTGATCACGTGCAGCAGGCGGAGTGTAACAACCGGTCTCGGCTGTAACGACCAGTGAGCATAAAAACATAGCCTGTGGCCGATTTTCTATCTCCATTCAGTGGTCCTGCACAGTCGGAATCTGTATAGCCAACGGAAATGTGGTCGATGTGTGGAAAAGAGGTGATGGGATTCGCTGGTGGTGCTTTATATGTGAGAACGATGTCGATCGGACATTTTAGGGAACGAATGTCATGTAATAATGGATGCTAGCACTTCAGTGTAGGCTTGGATTCCATTGACCCAGTAGAGAGGCAGCTCTCGCTATACCTGGACTTGTGTTCACTGCAAGATATTAAATGCAACCAACACCATGTTGGTAGCGGTGTTTAGTTAAACCATCCTGTCCTGCAGTTGCAGGTTCATGATAATCATACCAAATTTTCGCAGCTGCCTCATAAAAACAGGCTTCGCCAATCTACCATGTAGGTAGGCCAAAACAATACCAACCTGCCAGTAGGGTCCATCCCCTCCCTCATGGTAGCGATTGCAAAAATGAAACAGTTCGTAGCGTCCATCACAACAGGAGCATACATCTCTTCCTTGCTGCTTCTTCAATCAATTGCCACATATGACCCAGAGTGATTTGGGTAGGATTCCATCTGGATCCGCATTAGGGTCATTCGGGCGATCACTTTCAACATATACCCAACCACCCGGGGGCTATCAGTTCACCCGTGGCTATCAGTTCACCCGTTGGCACATCGGAACGAGGAATCAAGTGCCAAGTATTCCGTCGTTGTAAATCATCAATTTCTCGCTGCATGGACTTTTACCAATATTCACCTACTACAAGCCTTGACACAGCGTCCATGTAAGATTTTGGTAGAGAAACAGTAACAGGTGTAGGGTTGAAGGCAGCAAAGGCTTCTTGCAGGGCATAGCCATTCTGCAGAGAGGTCATCAAGCTCTGGATTATCAATATCATCATTCATATCATTAGGAGACAATAATGCGGTTTCCGTTTCTACTTAAGGGCTGTATGATTGGATATTGAAATCCTGAAAGGGTCAGTCTTCGTCTTTTGAGGGCCGAATCTGACATCACCGGTGATAAGCAGAGTATCTGTTCTCGGGTTCCATAGCTGATATATCGATTTGCCGTTGAAGCAAATAAAAATGTGAGCTTCTGCTCTGGCGGAGAGCTTATCTGCAGGTTTTTGAGAGCTGCGAAGATGGGCATAGACTTCAGAGCCTAGCTCTCGAAGTGAGTAATTTGAGGTGGAGCATCCGTCAAGGCACTGAAAGGTATTCTAGAAGGGCTGCGGACTGCAAAATGAGATCCTGCTTAGGCCAAAAGGTGCTGTTATACAGGGCTGTAGAGGTAGGTGTATTCTTGGTGATCGCAACCACAGTCAACAGGACATCTGCCCAGAACTTCTTTGTCAATTCCCTCTCAATGAGGTCCGCTGTCGTTGGTGCCATGATAGTACGGATATCACGTTCTCAAATACCATCCTGAAGAGGTGAATGGGGGTAGTGGATTCCCATTGGATGCCCTGTGCAGCCATCAAATTGGATATTTTGGCTGAACGTAATACACCATCGATATCTTTGTGAATATATGCAGGATGAGTGTAACCAAGATTGGTCATGAACTTGACCCAATGTTCATAATAATCAAATGCTTGATCCTTTGACTTCAGGATGTAAATCTATCGATAACGTGTCGCGTCATCTGTAATAAGTAAATAGCATTTGGACCATCTTCAGTTTCATCACTCAACATATTAAACCCCACCTGCAAAGTCGATATGAATACGTTCGAGTTGGCGGAGAGCTCGCGGCATCGGAGTAGTAGAATAGCTGCGAGTCATGCCACCTTTAACGCAGCTGTCACAAAAGAAGTTTTATTTAGGACCCCTGATCTGAACACCTGAATTCGGAGCTTTAGAAAGAGCAATTATGGCATCAACATGTGTCCTAGATCTATTGACATGCCATTGGGATAATGTCTTGGTAGTAGGTGCAACAGTTTGATTAGAGTTGCCATTCAACTCTCTGGTGGAATCATTAATTTTAACATTCGCTTGGGCTACCGCCGCTGCGGCAGTTGGGTCTCCATTGTATCCATGGGATTCCGCAATGTAATTAACGGCGCCGGCTTCAAGGTGGGGATCTGATGTTCAATCTCTCTCAAAACACTTGTAAACATTGTTTTGAGAGGTTCGTATGACATGGAATATGACACCATTCGGAGCTCGTACGATGAAGAAAGATGGGATGGTGGTAGAGAGACAAAAGTGATAACCTTGATATCCAGCTTTGCAAAGGGCAGTAAATTAACTGCCAAATCGGGTATCCAGAGGACGTCACAGACTGTTATGTCACCTCCTTTCAGTTCAAGAATAATTTTTTCAGCCTTTTTGACTTTTGACTTTACCACAAATGGCATTGTCTAAACTGAGATCCTTGACGAAGTGGCGTACATCACTAAAGGAATGGAGTTCACCAGTCAAATTGAAATTGACGCATGTATCAAGGAACCACGGTTTAAACATGAAACTCTGTGTTGCAGAGTATCCAACACTAATAACAGAATTCACAGTCGGCTCTATGACAAGAGATCAGAATATTGATCTTTTTGGATTCCTTATTCTTTTTAAATTTCTGCTTAGACATCTTCTTGTCCTGTTCTTGCTTTAGAGCCTCAGCTTTAGTTGTATCCTCGTTCATTTCTCTCCACTTGGGTGACGCTGCTCAGGGTGTAGAATCCAACATTTCACAGATACATGCTTAAGGTTGTGACAGTGACTGCACTTAGGCCTGCCAGAATTTGATGTGGTGACAGAGTTTGCAGTTGAGTTCCCTGAGACTTGCTCTTGAGTTTAGAAGTCCAATTCGACAATTGCTTCGTAAGATCTTCGATATCAATGTTGGACACTGGCTCCTGACCAGTGGAATAGAATTCATCCAGGCCGGTTGTGACAAAAGTTTTCTGGAAATTCTTTCAAGCCAAGAAGGAAAATATCATGGAAGATATCTTTCTTGTCAGTTGAACGCTGATCATGACGTGCCGTCAAGTAGTGGAATTGATGTTGATAGGCGAAATAGTCATTATCCTTGAACTGTAGAGTGGAAAGTTCTCTGATAATGTCTATACATTCCTCCGCCAAAGAGACTGCGTATACGGGTGACACCCTCATCACCCGATTCCGGTCGTGAATCCGGTGGTGATTACGGCTGATCCTCGACGATCCTCGACAATAAGATCGACTGTCGATGCCGTCGATGCCGTCTTGCGGTGTCGTAAAGTTCTATTACGCTCCGATTGCGGCGTAGGGGGCAAAGCACTCATAGTAGGAAAGGAAATCAAAAAGAAAGATAAGATCTGAGAATAATGAAGAAGTAATAGTTGTCGTAATTCGTGATATGTTGCAGGCTCAGTAAAAGACACGATTCACTGAGGAGCGGCAAGCGGATTCGTGAGGTAATAAATACACGTCTAACACTAGCCGGGCTATGTAACCCGATGACGAATATCGCGTAAGTGCGGGGCTATCTAGATCACGTGCAGCAGGCGGAGCGTAATAACCAGTCTTGGCCGACTAACAGATTCATTAGAATCTAACATCTAGCCAATCGGCTCCACCAAATGCGGGGCTTGGTCACGTGCTAAGGCTGCTGTAAGCCTTGCTTACAGACCCAAATGGAAGAAAATTCACCTCAAGCACCAACACCTTTGGGCATAAATTCCTTGTTTTGGGCAGCTTTGCATGACCGGGTTGCGCTTTTTGCGCCCCCTCAAATGTTGCGCGTACATTAGTGGTGAGAATATATGCGTGCGCTGGCAGTTGTGCCTCTAGCTGTCCACATTTCTTGCAACCCGCAGGTGGCAGATGACTTGATTCGAAGACCGGAAAATAAAAATGTCCTTGCGGAATATGGCAGAATCACATCCAGTTGTTTTGTTGTCATGCCGCACCTTCCATGCCGTCCCCTTCACTAACGTACAACGATACGTAGTTACATTGCTAGGAATTATCACACCAGGTGATGTTGTTCTGCTTCTGATGCTCCCCACTGCGTCCTCACAATACTGACCTGTCTCCATCATTCTCAATACTTTTCTAGCGAAAATCAATTTGTATACCAGGAAGGCGACCATGCTCAGTAGAGATGTCGTATCCTACTAATGGTCAGTAGGCGCCAGAAAATGTGCTGGCAGATGCCAAAAACTCCAGCAAAGTTGCTGGATTGAACAGGCAGAATTGGAACCATGCAGCACGTATGAACTCAATCATAACTATAAGTTACAGCAATGGTGCAAACCCGCGGAGCAAAAAGAAAGCCAATGCGAAGATCCGGTCTCAACTTCTCAAGCAAGTTCATCTTAGTACAAGTGGAATTGTCTCAACCATCGAAGCCACAGCAAACCAGAGGATGATGAAGGAGCTGGTGGAGGTGACCTTGTCGAAAGTTTTAGCTTAATGTTGGGTTTTGGGAGCATCCGTCGAATTAGCTTTAGAAGGTGGGGGAACTGTCTTAAGAAGTCATGTTTTTTCATCTCGAATATAACAAACCAAATCATAGCTTTTATTTTCTGCTGAGAAAAAGAAACAAGATATGTCACTGGTCAAATCAAAACTTCTTGTTCCATCATTCTTGAGATGACTTTTTCTTCATAATAAGTAAATTGATTGCTTTATGTGCTAAGAAGTGTGGTCTCTCCAGAACACTTAGCATTTCTTTTCTCTTTGATATGTCCTCTCCCTTCTTGAATATAGATGGAACTCCTCTCTGTGATCCTGTTCTTGGCCATAGTGGAACAGGAGTTGTTATTTGACAAGATGACATCATTGTCAAGCTGCCATTGAGGTATATTGGTGATAATGACAATGATACCTAAGCGAACTGCCTAATCATTAAAAATGAAGAAGACATGTATTGACAGACAGATACAGAATTGTGATGATGTTGTGTGTTGCTTCAGCTTCTCTGAATATTGCATTCAAATGAAGTTAATGGAAGATAGAGATCTTGAAGGGACAGCACCTGGTGCAGTCTCTTCAGCTCTGATGACTTTACCAAATAGCTCATACTATTGTTCACATACATGATTGTTGTGATATAGTAGCAGATATTTCTACATGAAATCATTCTCAGCACTGATCTCTTTGTTAAATCCTGTAATTTTAATGAGTCCTCTATACTGCCTCTGGGTGCTGACATGGAGCGTATCAGTGATCAGAGTTACTCAATTTACACAGACATTGGCCAGTTGAGTGTTGTGATAACTATGTGAGGTTATAACTGAGCAGCATTGCGAATTTAAAGATCAACTATCGGTGCCTACCTGCGCAGCCTGGCTACTACAGGAGATTCTTCCTTCCACCAAGAATGTTTAATTTGATTCAATCATTGAAAAGTGTTGGGCTAAAGGTGCATTTTAGAATGTGAGAAGTCTACTAACTGCACTAGAATTAGTCACTCTAGATTGTCTACTTGAATATGAAAAGAGAATACATGAACATTTAGAATTTCATGTCAACATGTTTGAGATATGCCCCCATCTCTTACTTCCACAGGAGAGGAATTTTGACAAATGTTTATCAGAGGAGAAGCTAAGTCACAGACTCAGCAATTGAACTGAGCACGAGAAGCAGCAGCAGTCTCATATGCACATTCAAAGCGTGTCCTTATCAGTGGTTTTGCCCCATGAAGCTTCTTAATTGCGGACAAGCAAACACTCAAATCATGCCACTTTGAGAACACTCACATCATTCCAATAGCTAAATATTGATGAGATCAATGAGGACGGTCTATCAGTCAAGTATGACATATCCTGTTTCAGTTCTCTAATCTACAACACTGTTACAGGAAGGAAGTTTGAAGTTCCCATCGGTCAACTATCCAATCCCACCGCGCAGGGTTGTCGTGAGGATGCTGCAGTTTCCAAAATTTTGAACTACACAATTCCAGAACACATGGATAAAGACATATATGAAAGGCTGCCCAACACAGTGGGCATATTCATGGGCGAAGTAATCCGGGACTGTTGGGATCGGGACGGGTATCAGAGGAGGGATGGTGGCTGTAGCGCACTATCTGAGCTCTCGGAGAGTGATCTCTCGGATATCAGTCCCACAGATGCACACCGATGGGGTTACCCAGTTATTATACATGAAACAGAATTGGAAATAATCATGATGTCCAGAGTTTGACCTAATCTCCGTGTCCCAACGGATGTAGGTAATGTAGAGAAGATTGTTCGCCTCTACCTTTAAACCTATACAATGCAGCAAGTTCCGATACTGGAAATTTGGGATATATGTTAGATACGTTAGATACGAGCAAGCGAATTTAATTGAATTTTGGAATTTGAATTTTTGCTCCACACTATTTTGTTGGTGGTCGAAATGCTGCCTCACTTGCCTGCTGTGTGTTTTGTTTGTTTCCTTGCCATTGCGAGAGTGCTAGGGAAACCGATTGTGAGTACAGTTACGCGTTACTATTCCCAAGTCAAGCTTTGCTTACCTCATTGTATAGAATGTTGACGAGACACCCAAACCCTGCCCCGTGCGAGGTGACTCGGGATCCCCATACTGTCGTGATCATTGTAAACGTGCTTGTGAAGTTAATGGCGCTGAAGACCCGCGTGACGGTCATGAGCCATCTTCAAAATGCCCCTGGTGGATTTAAACATGTCGGCGAAGATGGCATTTTGCGATCCTTCGATGGAAACGGGAACGTGGTTGACTACACCCGACTCTCATGAGACCAGTTATCAGTTTTAATATGCTGGGTGTTAAGGTGGGCCAGTTCGGAGACTATTTATCTCTGAAATCGAAGATGGCTGGGAAAATGTCGATAGTGCTTTTGGTGTCAGAGGACCAAATCTGGTCGCTACCCGAGAACATTCGACCAACTGTATGTGATCAGGGGACATATGAAGAAATGGAAATAGACGGAGAAGGGTCACAATGTGTTTGACCGAAAAATGATTATATGTTCCGATTATATATGTTATGATGACAATAATTGCCATAAAAATTGGTGGCGTCAATGCCTCGACTTTAAGAAACTGTGCAGGAAAAGGTGTATTTGAGAGCGTTGGGACCAGCAGATCGGGTATATTTCTCAAATAACAATTGCTGAAGGCTTATTTTTTCATCATCAAGTTCAATTGTTGACCTTCTCAGACAGTATCCTGTTATTTTAAAAGGAATTGAGAGTATTGGAAAAGTTTCTTCAGAGATCTTTTGCATATCCTTATAAACCGAAGAATTTACGTAGGTCTAGTGAACAGCTACCCTATTCCGGGAGAAAAGCTGACACAACAATTGTGATAAGGTCAAGCATAACAAGACGCGACCCACGTGTCCGGTGCCTCATCTGTGTCAAATAAATTCTCGCAAGATTGAATGTTAGAGAATGAAATGACTTAACATGATCTTTCTGAAACACTTTCCCTTCCTCCATCAGCATCCCAACCAACTCCTTTACCTCGTCCATAACCATAAAATCCCACTCTCCATATCATTCGTTGGACTTTTCCCAACAATCCCACAATTGTGGTGGTACATTTGTCATTAAACAAGAGAGTCAGATTCCAAAACGGGATCACGCAAGCAATTATTTCCTCTATTAGAGAAAAGAACCACATGGTGTTGCAGATGTAAATTGCTAGCGTATGCAACAATTTTGCAGGTAAACTGTCCAACGAAATTCACATCGCAAGGAAGCCATTGGAAATTTGCAACGGTAAAGATTAGAAATGGTTTCCAGTTGGAAGAACTTTGAAGATAATGATGACGATCAGACTCCCCAAGGAAGGGAACTTGGGCTTCCTCCTTCATCGGTGCTGGCATAACTTCGTCTCGACCAAGAGGTTCCTGGAGGCAATTACCTAGGTCTAGTCCTACGTCACGTAGAATGTGTGCTGCGCCCTGCCATATACTACAGGGGATTGAGGAGGGTGCACGAGGTTGACGACTTTGTTGTCTAAATCTAGGTGATAGCGAACGCGGTGATTTCTCGTCTTCGAGTGCAGTGATCGCGGGCTTCAGCGTCAGCCATGTTGATTCAGATACTGCGATACCAGATTTAATTGCAGTGATGTCAAATACAACGACGCAGCCGGATTCCTTGAGAAGCTCGGTTTTGTAACTCAATTCCGCAATGATCCATCGCAGCATTGGCTCGGAAATGTCCCTTGGCTGATTAGCTCAGATTGCATCCACCCAGTTGCGGACTACTCTCTCATTAAAATCCTGCTAACAGTGTCAGAGGATAAATGAAGCCCACCATATTAGCATGTCCAGCATGTTAAAGGTGGATGGTGAAATGCTTTCGAATGCCATCTCTTCTTATCCGTGACGCGCAGCAGGAGGCGAAGCATTGTAATTTCGCGGGATGTCATCAGCGGGTGTCTAGAGAGATACGCAACAACCGTAAGCGGGTCAAGGTCATCCCTCCCATGAACTCGAGGATCAACATGCACAAGCTTGGCATATATCACCTGCACACACAAGGCAATATTTATGCGGTTTCAAAATGTATTATTTACAGCCTCCTCCCGTCCAGGATATCCTGGACATGCAATGCTGTTTCGTTACAGGCGTGTCCCGTATGACTCGTGCCCGTGGTTGCATCTCTCACTCTCTTCAGACATTCTGGGTCGATACCTAAGCGGAAGGGTGATTTCTCTAAGGTAGAAGAGTGGACGATTGATTGTAAGGGAAGTCTTGCTATGCTTGCTCGCCCAGGTTACCGATGAAGATGGACTTCATGGTATAAAGACAGGAAGAGAGCAACCCGAAATGGAAAATTACAGGCGAATTTGTGGTTTTAATGCTTTGAGCGTCGGCCCAGAAATCAATGGTTCTTCTGCAGTAGAATTAGGAGGGAGCTTCAACACGGAAACTCCAACAGTAAGGAATCGACGCATTGTACGGAGTACCCATATATGACAATGATATCCATTTGGGGAAACCCGCAGCCTCCTTTGCTTTTATTTCTCGTGTAAGGTAGGTATGAAGACACCCCTAGATGCATGTACGCAGCCCGAAGGGGAGAGAAAGCGATGATAAATTCAGCCAATGGCTCTCAAGCCCAATTCCGTGTCTTACTAGTCAACCAATGATAACTAACATGCTACATAGAGAGTATTTCAGAAGCCCTTAATCTGTATTCAGAAATTCAACTAACAGCAGCACTGGGAGCACAATCTGAAGCTTGACGAAGTCAGCTGGGCATTCAGCGTTCACTAATGGTGAAGAACTCCTAGTGTCTTTAGCCTTTCGGAACAACATTTTTCAGATCTATTTTCTCCCTTCGGTTTTTGCTCCTTGCCCATGGTTTGTTGCTTGAATTACTTGAGCAGTGGCAATTAAAAATCAATATCCTAAACACGAGCTAGTAAGATGGATGTGAACATACTAGAACGATGTACTCCGTACGGAGATGGCATCCACATTGATGATAGTCAACCTTGTATGAAGGTATGTATCCCGTGTATATTTCGTCCAATACACCTTCAGTACGGCGTACCATGGCAGATATATCAATGGCAATTTGCCTTCAGTGCGGATTCAGGACGGAATGATGTGAAGGGGGCTGGTATCTGAGGCTTTTGATTAGAGAAGCTAGGGGTTTATTGTTGGTTTTCTAACTTGAACAGCTCAGTGATATAGAGCCAACTGAGTTGAAGAAAAGTTGAATATACCAAGTTTGAGAGCAGCGACAGTCATAGCGCGTGGGATTTATATATTATACATACATACAGCATTTCCCTTAGCGACCAAAACTGCCTTTGAAGTATGTACAAGTAGATACAAAAGCCTGTCCTGTAAAATATTCACTATTCCCTTTCATATAATTGGTTTACGCCTGCAACACTTGCGGTAGTTTCTTTTTGAGGGAGGCAAAAAGGTCCAAATAGCCGCTGAGGCTGGGGCTGAGGCTGATGCGCTGCAAACTGAAAGATACCACGGATGTTGTCGTGGTGTATCTTATTATTACTGTGTAAATAATTACGACGTTAGATCAGGATTTTAAGATGCCCGCGCAAGCTGTTTTCGTTTGCCTGCCTTGCGAACTCTTTTTTCCTTCTTTCTTCAAAGACATGCTCTTATTGTGTTCAGAGTAAGTAGCAACGGCTCTCCATTGCTCGAGGGATTGTTGCGCAATCAGGCTATATCTCACTCTTTTTCTTTCCTTTTTTAGTTTATTTTATTTATTTTTTAACGGAGTTCTCTGGCTACGGTTAATGCCTGCGTGATTTGATTCATATACACAAGTAAAGGTACCGTACCGTATTGTACTTTACACTATTTTGCTGTATCCATATATGTATTAAATCCGGCTCGGGTCCACGGCTGCTGGGATACGGAATACGACTTACTTCCCACGGAAATAAAAACCATATATGGCATATAGAAAGTATATCAGCGAATGTTTTACTAACATGTTATTATCATTACATTTCCCTGCAGATATGCATAAAAATAGCCGTTGATAGAAAAATACCGGTTTTGCGCATACAGGAGCAACGAAAATTCAAGCCCTCATTCACAAATCCATTCCCAGCAAAAAATCCCAGAAAATATCCAAACACCCACTTTTTCCGATCGTGCTTCAGTAGCGAAAATGGGTGCTCACTTCAACTATGGTACTTAGTTGCTAGATATCCAAAATCTCCTATGATGTTGCCCCTTCTGATCATCCGAGGTGGAAAGTATAAGTCGACAGGTGGGAATCGATATCTGAACAAAACATGGAGACCAAATACAGAGAATCTATTTCCTAAAGATCCTGGAGAGAACGGACGTGGCAAAGTGAGTGAATTGTTGATTCGGTATCAGAGAAGCTGGAATCCATTCGTCACGCGAAAGGTGATGATTGGTACTGGATGTATGTGTAGTATGTACATACATTTTAGTAGGAGGCTTGAAACTGCCTCGTCAGATCTCACTCTCAGCCTGTGAACACAATCGTCGAGATTGTGAAGGACAATTTGAAGAGGCTGGTAGATATTAATGAAGGATCACGCCACAATCAGTGAGGATGATGCTCCGTCTCACCTTAATGCAGTCTCAGGTCCTGCTACTCATCTATCCTTGGAGAAAGAATTCCATGACAGGCGGGGCCCAAACCTGCAACCCAGTGACTGTTCATTTTAACAGCTCTATCCGTCCAAGCATTTACAGCCTACGGATGTAGTTGTGGTTAACCAGAGTATGCGGAGAGTTTGATATTGGGAGTGTGGATGGAGGCTTGGCAGCTGTCATTAGATAATAAGTTTTTTCTCATACTGACGATACACAACGGTACCGTACTATACAATGAGTTTGAATTTTCCAGTGAGCTAAATTACGAAAATACACGTATAACTTACGTATAGAACATACCATACAGTATCGAGTTCCTCCCCCAAAGCCCGCACAGCGCCAGGGTCGCTCCTTCCTCTCTTCTCCTCCGTACTTCCCTCCACATTCCTTAACCATATCTCATCCAAGTTGCGCCTCAACTTTTCCCATCCCGTTGATTTTCGATCCCAACTCAACCCCACGTCTTCTCAATCTCCAGCCCCAAGCTGTCTGCACCACCCCCGGTCGTCCCGGCTCCCTGCTCCGGCTCCCTTTTTCCCTTCCCTCCTCCCTCTTATCATTACTCATTATCTAGTTCCTACCTATAATTACTTAATTATCTGCTCGCATCATCCCCGTAACTCTTCAAAACCAGCCGCCCCTTCTACCCGACTCTCCCTCTTTTCCAATGCGCTATTCGCATTGCCATCGGTGTCTTATCAGAACCTGATCGATCCGATTCCATCCTTTCTCCTGCTCTGCCATATTTCAGCGTGGAGACATGGTGGTCCCACCATCTACTGGAGCAAATACTGCCCAGCAGCAGCAGTCACAGCAGCCATTGGCCACCCGGTCCTCCACACGCACGTCGAACTCGAATAATAGCCAGTCTTACAATGCCAACGTTCCCTTGAGTGCTCGAAGGGCCGCGCCCCTCGATCTGTCCACGGTAGAGCGACGGGGTCATCCAACTGCCAGCAGAGAACCAGTGAAGCGTGTGCGACCCCACGGTCTACAGGAAGCTCCAACGTTTCGTCCTACCGAAGAAGAATTTAAAGACCCCTTCGAATATATCCGTAAGATTGCGCCAGAAGGAAAGAAATACGGCATCTGCAAAATTGTGCCTCCTGACAACTGGTCTCCACCGTTTGCTATTGATACAGAGGTGCGATGTTTCTTCTACTACTTCTAGAACGAATCTATTTTTGTTTAAAATATGTCCGATAATAAGATAACTGACGAAATCTCTGTTTTCTGCCATTTAGCGATTCCACTTTCGCACTCGTCGCCAGGAGTTGAACTCGGTTGAAGGAGGTATGGCCTAAACACCACTCCCCACCAGCTGTCCATTTCAGTCCATTTCAGTCCATTTCAATCCCACCACTCTGACCCCCAACTAGGCACCCGAGCGAATCTCAACTACCTCGATCAACTAACAAAATTCCATAAACAACATGGAATGAATCTGAGCCGTTTTCCCAGCGTCGACAAGCGGCCCCTTGACCTCTACAAACTTAAAAAGGCCGTTGATATCCGCGGAGGCTTTGAACAAGTATGTAAGCTTAAAAAATGGGCGGAAATTGGTAGAGATCTGGGATATAGCGGCAAAATTATGTCGTCGTTATCAACCTCCCTTAAGAATTCGTATCAACGCTGGCTTCACCCATACGAGGAATATCTTCGCGTAGCTAAACCCAGTGTCCAGCAGCAGCTGGAATCTGAACATGGCGGGCCATACACGCCATCCCCCGGAACCTCACCGGCAGCTAAGAGGCCTCAGTCAAACAACAATCGTGTATCTGAATTAAACAAGGACTCCCCAGCGGCAAAGAACTCTGCCGCCCTTAACAATTCTGTGAGAGAGACTGAGGACAGAACGGATAAATCTTCGACCCCTCTTGATTGCCCTCAAGAACGGCCAATTACAACTTCGGGATTTACGGCCGTTAATTCAACTCCAAGTGGATTTTCTGCAATCAATACCCCTCCGTCTTTCGTTGCGGTGAACAGTTCAGCTCCTACTGTAAAACGAGAGATGGAGAACGGAACCCACCTTTCTAGCCTTGGAAATGAGAACGGTACTTCGAAAAACACACCGGATCGACAGC